TGCCATTTCACAAGCGCCTCGCCTATTTCGTAAATATTTTAATGCATATTTGTATAGCACAGCGACGTGTACCAGTTTTTGCAACTCCATTACTTTTATGCATTCCTGTACTACTTCAATGGAGCTTTTAAGGGTTTCTGTCATTTACTCCAAATTTAACAGTTCAACCGTCGTTTTCGACGATTTCCACCACGATTGAGGCCCACCCGGCGGGGCTCCGGATCCAACAGGGGCTACTAGCCAGCCAACCTTGATGGGTAGGTTCCTGCGTACTCCACATATACTGACCGGCACGCACTGCCAAATAACACAAACCCCGATCTGCATAATAGAGATCTTGGTTACGTTAATAATTGTTTAGCAATTGGCAGCTCGTCTGAAAATATGAAACTTGGGATGTACCAGATAGTTACGAAGGCATCTAAAGTGGATTCAGATAATGCATACTTCCAAGAGTAAAAGAACTGACTCCAGTCTCTCTTTCTTACCTCTCCCATTGCATACTGGTAGCAAGTCCCAGTCTAACCAACTAATGTTACGGCCGAGCGCAGTGGATGACGCGTTTAACGCCGTCTTGGAAGTCCAAGGAAAAGCTGTCACCAAGTGACACAAAAGCAAAACTTTGGGAGAGTTTTCTATGCAACAACCATGCCCCCTGCAGTACAGTACACCAAATATGCGAAGACGCTCTGTTTCGGTGTTCAGCTCATGAGGCATATCCACCGTGGAAGTTACAAGCGGATGCCTGCGATCCAATCCCGGAACGACGAAAACTGAGAAGCAAGAAGTAACGGTGGTGGTTGACGTGAGCAAATTGTTTGAAAGTTAACAAGAAACGTCGTACACAACACCACCTTGGTAACTTGTAGAGGCCGAAAATGGGGTCGCCAAAATATTCGGTTGAACCAAAATATGGATAACTAGGCAAAAAAAAGCAGAGAGCGCAGGTACGGTAGTTAACTATTTCTACAAATTGCAGTGTCAATGGACAACTATAATTGCCTTGTAGTTGGTTCCTGAGAGCTGCGTGCGATCTGTTAACAGTATAGTGAAGCGCACTCGAAAACAAAACACAAAACCTATAAAAACCATATGAAGGGAGTATTTTTAACTAAGACTGTGGGGAACGGGAACTTGTATAACCAGATGGAAGCAAGGTCGCCGACTCCCAGATTTCGCGCGGGGTTATCTGTGGTTGAGACACGCACACAAGTTTTCGGCTTTCCGACTTCCTGGTTTCCCCGTGTCTATGTCAAAAAAAACTAAGTGCTTTATCAAAATTACCCACTGCATCAAGTTGCCCATAGCGATAAATGTCAATCTTATCAATCTTACTAGGCACTCAACGCAATTGCGCATCTTTAGCATCAAAAGGAATTGGAAGGCCGCATTCCCGACAGGGGAAGAGTAACAAGGGGTCAGCTCCAAGCGCCAACTGCGAAGCAGACTTGATCGTTTGAAAAAAAGTTGTATTCACCTAACATTTCGGATTGGTGCTTGAATTGAGGTTTGCGGGGGGGACTACAGTAGTTACATACTGAGGCTGTCATCAAGAAGAAAACGGGCAATTTATTCGCCCGACATTTCGGATGCCGACACCGGCTCATCACCAGTTACAGAATTGAAGAAAGAACGATACAAGAAGATCACCATTTTTGTAGTTAGCTGTTGCTAATCAACCGCATGTCAGTGGATACGCATCAGCCTCCGAAATACGTACAGTCTCTGCAATTACTTCCACCGTCAGCCAATGCCTTAAGGCTACATAAACTGGTGGGTGATCATTGTTTTACTCGAAGACGGGGGACCGATCTCCTCATTATAGTTTACCTGACGCATGGCTTAGTTCTTGTATCAGCTGCTCCAACGCCCCTGTTCTCTGACATCCTGGTGGCTGCAGCAAGCCGGCTAACCAAC